GGGAGCCCCGGGAGCCGCGGAGGGCGCGGCCGCCCGCCCGCCTTTGTCTCGGCCGGGCCGGGCCGGGCCCCCCCTGACCCCCCTCCCCGCCGCAGGAGCCATGGGCCGGTAGGAGCATCCCGGAGGGACGCGGCGCTGGACATGGAGCCGGCGGCGCGGGCGAGCGGGGACATCCTGAGGCGGAACCCGCAGCAGGACTACGAGCTGATCCAGCGGGTCGGGAGCGGCACCTACGGCGACGTGTACAAGGTGAGCGGCGGGGGGGCCGCCCCTGGCACAGCCCGGGGGCTCCCAGTTGTCTTTAAAAGGACTGGACGTGAGGGCAAAAGGTTTCCCAGAGAAGCCGTGGCTGCCCCATCCCTGGAAGTGTCCAGGGCCAGGCTGGACGGGGCTTGGAGCAACCTGTTCTAGTGGAAGGTGTCCCTGCCCATGGCCGGGGGTGGAATGCCATGATCCTTAAGGTCCCTTCCAACGCAAACCATCCTGGGATCCTGTGATTTGCACTCGAGGCTTGACTTGGTGAATGTTGCAGGTGATCTTTTTTCACGTTACTGCCGGAGGATGTAGAGGATATCTGCTGCCCGTACCTGTTTTCCAGAACGCATCCAGCTAAAGCACCTGATTAAAAGGGTGCAAGTTTATCCCCGAGGTTAATAATAGCCTGCGAAAGGCAGAAGCAGATTAAAGCTCTTCAGAAGCTGGAACGGAGTTCCAGCACGAGGTAGAGTTAGTGCAGCACGTCAAGTAGATGCTCTTGAAATGGTGCGTGTGAAAGGTGTCCCTGTCCACGACAGGGGGGTGGAACTGGGTGATCTTTAAGGTCCCTTCCAACCCAAACCATTCTGTGATTCCATGAATCTATGTTGCCAGAACCACAGCTATGGGGGGACAGGAGGTGTAGGACCAGTGTGTTGCTCTCACACGAGCTCCTTCCCCATCCATCAGGGACCTTCCCCATCCATCAGGGACCTTCCCCATCCATCAGGGACGTTCCTCACGCATCGCAGATGCTGGGCAGCTTTTAGGGCTCAGTGGCTTTTAAAGAAAGCCTTGAATCTTCCAGCCTGCCTTTGGCAACCCGCATGTTCAGCTGCATGGGAAGGGAGGCTGTGTGATGTTTTCCTTTGTAGTGCTGTTGAGTGTGTTTAAAATAGACCTGACACAGCCAAGCGTGCAAGGAAAGGTGTGTTCCTGTGCCACATGAAAGGCAGTGGTAATTGCTCTTGCTGAGGGAGGGCTCTTTGCTAATGTTCAAATTGAAGTTTTATAGATGGATCCTGTTCCCACCACCCCTTTGAAATGGTTACTTATGACCTCGGGGAGTTATTTTTAACAGTTTTCACGGTGCATATTTACCTTCCTCTTTTATTTTTTTTTTTTCCTCCTGCATTGCTGTGCACAGATCAGTCAGCTTCTTTCCCGAGGAATTCCAGCGCTAAATCCTTTAAAAAGAACATTTCAGCTGTCATAAACCTGGAACTCAGCAATACCTTGAGCTGCTTTGTTTGTGTGTGCCTGCACGGTACAGGGCAGCATGACAAGAAACAACCAGGCAGCACGACAAGAAATAACTAGTTGTGTTGCAGGGAAGTATTTTTTTGTGTCATCTCTTCGTGGAAAAAGAAATATTCTGCTTCTCATTATGCTGGTAATTAGTGGAGAGCTGTGCTGACATGTCATCCAGCTTCCGGTTCCGGAGCTGGTTTGAATTCATGGCTCTGCTCTGTGCCATGTAAACATATCCCCTTTAAACAAAAAAAAACCAAAAAACACCCCACAACCCTCTTCACCCTCCCCCTTCCCTTCTTTGGGTTATGAAAAATGTGCCTTTTACTCCTGAAACGGTTTCAGATAAGGAATAAACCCAAACCTTCTCCTAGTGCAGCCTGGCAAGTTTAAATCCAGGTTTTTTGGCAGTCGTTTTAGACGTTGTTATGAGCCTGAAAGAAGTATAAAGTTAATGAGTTTAAAGTAGTTTGAGAGGCCACATTTGTTTCTAGGTCATTGGTTTGCTCTTTGTTTTTATAAAGCCCTGCAACAGGGAGGAACTGTATCAAGGGAATACTGAATCAGATGGCACTGCCTCTGATGACAAATATGCACAGCAAACTTATTTTTTAAAGTCATTGATGTTATGATAATTTTTAAAAGTAAGGTAAACCTTTTTTTTTTCTTGAAAGGACTTAACGTGTAAACACTGTACTTTTATTTTCCTTAGTCCCTGGTAAGTCTCAGTGCAGATGGCACATCTTGTGCTCGCTGAGTGCTGTCAGTAGTGTTTACAAAATGCATTTATTAGCGACTGTCCGACTGTTTTTATGTTGCAGAGCTCGGGGAAGGTTTGCTAGAGAGTGCCCTTAAATTAACATGGAATTTTCCCCTCACTTCTTCAAGTGGTTTCTCTGCTCCTTCGCTAATAATGAGTCACCAGCGTCTCCAGCACAGTTGTTTTTGGGATGTCTGAGCCGGGCAGCCTCTGACTGTGGGACATCTGCCTCTTCCCCAGATGCTTTCTGGTGGTGGTGGTTCATGCTTCAAATTCTTCTTGGGGCATTTGGTAGCTTTTAAGAGTAACTGGCTCTTTTTTGGATGGTGAAGGCGGAGGTTAAGCAAATATTTCTCTTCGCTATTAAGTTACAGAAGAATATTTAAGGCTTTTCTAAAATTTTCCTGCCCACTTTGCTTTTCATTACTGCCATGAAAGCTTAAAACTGAGCTGTGTTTTCTTGGTGTTTGTGGGTTTTATTTCTCTTGTCTGTCACAAGGCACACAATGGTTGATTGTAGGATTGCTGGTAAGTGCTGGATTGTTGATGTTGTTTTAATATTTATCTTTTTTTTTTCCCCCCAAAATGCATTTCAGGCTGGGGGAGAAACCATCTGTAAATGAACTCTTCTTGTCTATTCACAGCATGTGTAAATAGATCCAAGTTTGGGTCTAGCAGTCTTGGAAGTGATTTCCATTGCAATCCTAATGTGTTAGTTATCTGTGGTGGGAAAGCGTTTTTCCTTTTTAATAGAGGATATTATTATTAAGCCAGTTATGATCTATTGGAATAATTTATCTCTCAAAGCATCATACCAAGCTCTCTTAAATTACTGGCTCTCTTAAATTACTTAAATTACTGATAAGGAAGATTAGGAACTCACTAGAACTTGATAATATGCTGACAGTGTATTTTTGTCCCCACTCTCTCGAATTTAATCTGGCTTTTCTGTTTGCCCACCTTAGTCATAAACGTGAAAATCCCAAACCAGCATTTAAAAATGGCATGAAATTTGCTCATGCATCTGTTTCATGCTGAAAGAGATGCTCTGTGTGTGTGTGTGTGTGGTTAATGCAGAAACATCCAGCTGACGGGTGTCTTGGAGCAGAAAATTAGACGAGAGGCTAGAAACTGTAAATGGAATTTAATCTCCAGCACTAGGAAGTGGCTGGTCAGATCCCATCCCAGGTAAACTCCCACGGTGTGGTTGGATGTTTCCCTGGATGGGTTTTCACACCAGCGTGACCTGTCAGTGAACCTGCAGCTTTTCAGTAGGGCTTTGTGGTCTTAATTTGTGCGAGGCTGGTTTGATAACAGGGTCACATCAGGAGCTGTGTAAACACGGGTGTCTGCAGTCCACGATGTTTTCTGGAAGCACTTGGAATAGCATAAGACTGGCCTGTTTTGGTTAGCTGTTGGAATTTGGTTGCATCAGAACATCGAGTTTTTGTGTAGCTGTGGAAGTCGGTGTCCTGAAGGGAGCTGGAAAATAAGAGCTGTGTTAGGGGGATAATTTACTGGAGCTGATCCTTCCTGAGATTTCCTTCGTGGGCTTTTTGTCTGAGTATTTTTGAATGACTCTGAATAGGTTTGGTGGAGAGGTTTAGGAAGATGTCCAAGGCCAGGTTGCCTGGGGCTTGGAGCAACCTGGTCTAGTGGAAGGTGTCCCTGCCCATGGCAGGGGGTTGGAATAAGACGGGATTTAAGGTCCCTTCCAACACAAACCATTCCCAGGGCTTGGCTTTTCATGGTTTTTCATGCAAGTGCCCCAAACAGAGTTTTTAACTAATCCTTGGTTTTACAGAAGGGGAACAAAAGGGTGGTTGATGGAAGGGCCTTGTGGAAGGCTCTTGTTTGGCAGCTGAGCTGGGAGCTCGAGGATGTGCTCAGCCCAGCACCCTCCGCACGCCGCTCCCGCGGGGTGAATGGCTGGATGTCTGTCCTCCCAGGGAGATCAAACATGACCTTGTGCAGCCATTCCAAAGCTGGCTTGTTTTGGGTTTTCCAGGCAGGATTGTGAGCAGTAGCTTTCTTTAAAAGGAAGCACAGGGGACGAGGAATGTACCAAATTAATGGCAGAACCTGCCTGTAAACACCAGATGGATTTTTATTGAGCATCGTGGAAATTTCATTCCTTCTCGAGTCACCTGCTCAGTCTCTCTTGTATTGGGATTGTTATTATTATTTTTTAATCTCCTGCACCAAATAAAGGCATTAACTTAGAATAAACCTGCACTGGTTTGTCACTGATCACTGCTGCAGAGAAATAGTGAGCAGTGAAATTGGATTGTGGCACACACAGATTCTTCTGCTCAAATGCAATTTAAAACAACAAAACCCACTTATTTTATTTTGTTGGTTTTGTTTGTTTTTTTTTTCCTAAGGATGCCATTAAAATGGGGCTGTGTTCAGTTTGAGTCAGGTTTTGGCTCTGCTTGTGTGGTCACTGCCTTATTCTCAGAGCTCTGGAGTATAGTTCCTGATGCAGCCAAAGGCTGTTTAGAGCCTGTATTTGATATTTAGAAAATAATCCTTAATGTCATTCTAATTTCACAGATTGTGAGAACTTATCAGTTAAAGCATATTACTACTTAAAATCAGTGGGTTAAGAATGGAGTATTGAGGGTTTTTTTGGTGTCTTTTGATACCAGAGTAGTTATGGCTGAGACAGTTTTTAATCACATATTCTCAACTTTCTACAAATTGTTTTGGCAGCTGCCAACCGACTGGATTGGCCAGCCCTGACTCAGCACTTCTGTCCCTGGTGAATATGAGTTGCTACCACAGATAAATGACCATAAAGCATCTGTCACATTGGGGGATTCCACTCTTCCTCTGCACATCAAAGCCTTCTGGCAGCAGTGTTTGCTGTAGCCATGCCTGAACTGTGTGTACACTTTTTTTTTCCCCATGAGGAGGGTGTTTGGGATGGCATGGAACCAGCGCTGTTGAGTTTCCTCTCGTTCCTGTGGAGTTCCTCTCC